TGTGTGTGTGTGTGTGTGTGTGTGTGTGTGTGTGTGTGTGTGTGTGTGTGTGTGTGTGTGTGTGTGTGTGTGTGTGTGTAGCTTCATGTTAGAAATTACTAAACGAAACTGGTTTAAAGTCTCCATAAACTGTCCCTATTCTCCTATACAGCTGTAAACTCATTAACACATAAACTATTCAGCCTTACTTGTGCTTCTTCTGTATTTTGTTGTATTTTTAATTGTTTTTTTTTCTAAAACATTTCAGCATGTTTGTATCTGATTGGTTTGGTTTGTTTAGACTAAAAAAACATACATAGTAGGAACATCATAACTTCTTACATCCACCTCTTTGGTACAAATTATAAAGCCYAAATGTTTTTGTCACTATTGCTCACTATTTTGGGACTATTAGTTTTCTTTCTAATCACCCTGAATACAAAGAGTGAACACCTGGATTTCCACAGACTTTAGATCGATTTCAGCTCAAAACATCCTCTTTAAAACAAGAAGTCTTTATTCAAAATATTTATTCAAGAGATGAGAAATTGGCCTTTGGCTTTTTGCCATTTTTWCACTTTTTAAATTGTTCAACTTACTTCTATAGTCTTGCTGAAATGTTTTTAGTTCTTTTAAAATCCTTAAAAAACCTTTTCTTATCAAAATCTGATTCAGCTTAAATAGTCCAATTTGTTTTCTTGTGTTACTTTTAGCTAGCCTTTGCTATTTTTGATTTGCATTTTTCTACACTTAGCTTTTAGCTGCATGTTRCTGTTTATAGCGTTTAGTGTCCGTTTGCTTCTTTTAGCTAGCATTTTTTCTGTTTTTAGCTTCTATGTTATTATTTTTAACTATCATTTYGCTACTTTCCTCCACTTAGCTTTTAGCTTGACTTGTGCTGATTTCAGCTTATTTTATTTAGCCTTGACTTTTAGCATGATTTCTGTTTCTCTTTTAGCTTTATAGCCTTTTGCTGTTTGATACCATTTTTGTTACTTTTAGCTACCGTGTTGCTACTTTTAGGTAGCCTGCACAAACTTTACATTATTTTTTAGCTTTTATACAGCTTTTGGCAGCTATTTTTTGGCTCTTATTTCCTTGARCTGCTGCTTCTTTTAGCTTCAGCTCAGTTTTAGCTTATTCAAGTAGCTAGTTCTGCAGTTTCCAGCTGGTTTCTGTTTGTCTCTTCAGTTTGCTGKCAGGGAGTGAGAGATTAGTGTGGTTACCAAGGTGATCATTATCAGTTTTAACATTTATTTTAAACTCTTCTTTAACAGATCAAACATCCAAATGTAGGCAGTGATACTTTTGACTCCTCCAGTAATTCTCTGATAAGTTTCCTGTAGTTTATCAGCCTGTAGGCGCACGTGGGGACAGTATTGGCCCCCCAGGGACCCCCTCACGAGGGATGCTATGAATGCAGTCTGAACTCGTCCACTGGTGAGCCATAAAAAAACACACACACACCGCTACAATCATCCAAGTGTATTCTCGGTGTCTTCACGTGTAAAAGTAGATCCGCGCGTCGATTATTTTTAGTTCCTGTTTGCTTTTCTCTCAATGATTCAGCGAGCTCGCGCCCTCCACTGCCTCCACCTCCTCCTGCTCCGAGGATAAATCTGGATTATGGGTGACGGAAGGTGTGGGCATGCTTTTTTTGGGGGGGAGGGGTGTGCGGGTAGAGGTGCTGCCGGTGGTGGAGGGGCTCGCGGTTCCCGATGACATCATTCCATCCGAGCACAGTCCGCGCACCGCATCGCAGTCACCCCTCCAACACACACACACCCATACCCCACCCACTTTTAACCAGAAATAAACGCACACACACCTTTAGTTCCAGCAGTTCAGACATCCGGATACAGGCTGGACATCCTATCCTCCCCCCTCACACACRCGCGCGCGCRCRCACACACACACACGCGTCCTACAGCGTAAATAAAGTGGTTAGAGCCGCAGTACGACTCGAGCCCCCCCACGCCCCGCAGACACCACACAACATCCAAGACCAGTAATCAGCCCCAATTAGAGATAACCCGCTAATTACCAGCATGCACGCGCGCACACCTCCCGAGCGGAGGGGGCACAACAAGCCCCGACACGAGACACAAAGGCTGCGGTGTGTGTGTGAGAATAAAACGTGGGGGGTKGGGGAGCAGCCAGCACCCCCACCCCCTTATTTGACGCTGATATGTAGGTCGCGTGCAGGATTTCCTACCGATCACCGCTGTCTCGTTAATGACGCGCGCGCACCGGCTCCTGAGCGCACGAGACCCCACGGGTTTAACAAAAGACGCGAGCGAGGCTTACCGTGGAGCCGCGGGCGAGCAGCGCCGCGAGCGCCAGCAGCACGGGCAGCTTCATGGTGGGGGTCCGCGTGCACAGCCTCCCGGTGCCGCCGCCGCCTTCAGGGGGTGGGGAGGGAGGGATGAACGGGCTCCCGGAGGTCTCTCTCGGTAGTGTGTCCCAACTTCAAAGCGCGCCGCCCATCCGCGCGACCATCCGTCCTCCCGGTCGAGGCTTCTTTTTTTTAATCCAGTGAGTAAAAATTAAAATAAAAAAGGCTGCAGGTTCGGGTCACCGGGCTYCTGTGTTACTCCCCGAGTCTTTCTGGTTCGGTAAATGTGAGGACTCTGAGCTGAGAGGGTCGCGAGCTCTCCGTGTGAGTGTCTCAGCTCGTGCAGCCTCTCTCCTCCCCCTCTTGGCTCAGTGCAGGATGTTCCGTATGGCGACGCTGCCCGGCCTGGGAGTTTGGCAGGAGGAGGGGGGGGCGAGCCTGTGCGTGTGTGCGCGTGCGTGTGGCCGTGTGTGTGTGTGTTAGGGAGTCTCCCCGGGTAAGGGCGATGATGCCCCCTGCAGCTGGTTTACAGACACACACCTCTCAGACCACATGTAAAATAATAGACAATGTAGTAATTAAACTCACCTGTATGGCAAGCCCGTCTATCATATAATAGTTAGACAGGGCTCTTCAAAGCAGAATTTTTTWAATATAATTTGTGTGCAAAAATCTTGTATCTTATATCCATTTTAAAATAAATGTGGAGAATTTAGGAGGAAAATGTATGGGTTGCCAAATATAATATAAAATGTAAAAAAAAAAAGGTCACTTGCACACTTTCATTATGTATCTAATTTTCTGAGTGTAAAATCCCCCAAAATTCTATTAAGATTTCATTGTTATTTARCTTTTACATTTGTTAATTTTTACTTAAATTTAAACATTAACGTTAAATGTATGTTTTGGCTAAATGTTAAAGTTAGCATTTAAGCATTTCAGAATGGAATTCATTTTTGCATCATCATCATCCTGCAACAAAAAGTAAAATGCTAATGCTGCTAACATTGCCAACATTATTGCTAACGCAGCTGAAGCTTCCCTAGAARATTTCAGATTTGCAGTTGCCTGAGCTGCACTTCAGACCGCATCACAGGTATCGTCCTTATTGTTTTCCAAGATCACATTTTGAATTAAAAAATTTAAATGGCTTCTTCAGCAGTGTTAGCAACATTAGCAGTGTTAGCAACATTAGCAGTGTTAACGTTTGTCACAGGATGATGACATCACAGCAAATGCCCATTCTGTAAGCTTTATCATTTAGCCACATTTAAATTTGAATTATTACATTTAGATTTAGGATTTATAATATTTATTATTAAAGTTATCATTTTGTAAAATTAGCTAAATGTCCTAACAGAGAGCTAAAAAAAAAACAATAGTGGGACTTTTTAAACTAAGATTTTACACTCATAAGAAAGCTAAATAATGAAAATGTGTTAGTGACATTTTTTTTAAGTTTTACTTTGGCGCCCCATAAGAATGGAGCATCACAAGATTAAATTGTTTGTGGTTTGCTTTAGGAAAAACACAAATCCTTTCTACATGCAGCCTGTTCCTCACACCTGGACAGGTAGAAGAGGTTAAATAAAGCTCTGAGTCTGTCCAGATCATCTGCAGTGGAGTCAAAARTAAAGATTTGTAAACAAGTGAAATAATTTGTTTGGAGGGAAACACTCATTATTCAGGGCTGCTGCTTGTCAGGGAAGGCCAAATTAAAAGTGTAAAGCCTCATTAATCACGTGTTTACAGAGAAAATAGATCCTGGTCCTGTGCAAAAGTTTTAAATCCTTGTTTATATGTTTTTCTTCCAYAGCAGCCAAACTTTCTCATGACTTTTTAAAACGTTATGAATCAGTAGCTCTCCAGACTTTATCAAAGTTTAGACTTTGGCTGCATTTTTTTTACCCATGTCCTTGAAAATGAAGAGTTGTTTAAATAATAAAAGGAAGAAAGCGAAGAGTCAGACCTTTACAAAAATACGATCTACAGCAGATTAATGTCTGAAAGACATAAAAAAAAGTAAAGAAATCCAGCAAAGACCTAAACTACCTGCAGCTGAATGTAGAACTTTTCAGTGAATTGCTCTTTGAGAATCATCTTATTGGTGTTAAAAGTTTGTCTGTCAAATGATGTTATCTTTGCAATTTCTGATAGATGTCACTATGAGTGCAGCAAACAGCTTTCTGAGGCACTATTAAAATGCTGATATTCAGCTTTTCGTCCAGTTTGTTTTGGAACAGCCATGGCCTACTGACATTTGTTCAGAATCTTTTTGAAGAAGTTCATTTAAGATTTGTTTACACATTTGAGGAAATTGAAAAKACAAATAAAAACAGTCTGTGCTGTACATCTATCCGCTACTAATTTAAAAAGCTGGAAATTTAAGCTTGATGATGGAAACAATAAATCTTATTAAACTTACTTCATCYGCAAATATTTGAATTTATTATGCACCTCATTTTCTTCCTATCCCCCCAAAAATTAACTTTGGAATCAAATCATTACAAAATTAGGGTTGGTTTAAGACTTTTGCACAGTACTCTGTCCATATTTGACATGTAACAAATCCAACAAGTATTGYGCTATTTGAGTTATATGAGAAAAACTGATTTATTTCTTGGGATAAAGGAGAAAAAAAAAGATCGTTTCCAGACGATTTAAAGCCTGGGACAAATTAAAATCCATGTTTTTCTCAGACTGTGTAAAAACCCCTGATTATTGATAAAAATCAGCTAAAATCAAAATAAAGTCTRGCTCCTTGGAAGCAAAACAAAAGAAACGTGGGATGATTTTAAAACAATTGCACAACACTGGAAAACAGACACAATAAAACACGCTCGACACGGTTAAATTTTCAAAGTTTTTTTGCTTTTTGTTCAGTTTGGTTTCAAAATAAAGATCACACAATTGTTTAGAGACAATCTACAACAGGAGTTACAAAAAATAGTTGCCCAGGCATAAGCATACACAGGTTCTGTTAACTATACACATATGGTTACAGGTGTGCTCGTAGTAAATATACACAAGGCTGCTCCAAATGTACACTGCGCTGTGGCAGGCTGCCTCTCTCACCCAAAAACACATGTATGATACAGCACTTACAGCACTAGAGAAAAATGAGAAAGAAAAAAAATCTCCTCTGTACAATAATCCATAGATTTACCCCTGAAAACAGTAGAGGGTAACTGAGCGGGGTTAAAAGAGTGAATTTATGTCTCCCACCCAGCCAGCAAACTTATATGCAAATCATCAGGTAAAGCATTCCTATAAAAAGATCTTAMAAAAAAAAAAAAAAAATCCCACCAGATTCTAACAGAACTGATCCAATCGGGGAGATTTTTTTTACATTTTTTTAAATTTTAAGTTAAGCAGTGATGAGATCAAGATAAAACCAAGCGTGGTGAGTCTTTGTACAGGTACTACGCTGAATAGAAAGGGCTTCTCAAAACAAAACAAAAAAATTTGATATTACAATTTACAATATACAACAACTCATATGTCACAACCAATGAGGTGAGAATATACACTGAAATGCACATTTTTTTTCCTAGAATAATTTTTTTTGTTCCGTTTTTTTTTTTTTTTTCTTCTCATACCAAAAAAGGGTGGTAAAGCACTTTTACATTACAAGGGTTTACAAATGTACAATTATACAGTCAGAAGTGGTCACTACTAGGATACATTAGATACAGATTCAACATCAAAAACCAGAAAAACTACAAAGTTTTATATATATATATTTATATATATATGCAAAGGTCTACACCAAGTATACACG